TATTTGTGGGGGTATGTGGGTGTTGCAGCCTTTAGCTCATTGCCATATTTGGCATGGCCATAGATGGCGCTCTCGGGTGGAATCTGAATTTTGGAATTCCCGTATCGGGCACTTGTTAATTTGCTGTCGACAACAAAGCAGGTGCTGCAGAAATTAGTTAAATTATTTAAAACCCGCCCACCCTCCCAAATAAGAATAGTTCCTGCTGCTTTTTGTTTTATATTTTCAGGCACTAGTTTGCTGTATTTGGTTGCAATATTATGGTTACCAGTATCCAAGCAGGTCCTCCATGGTATTGGACCAATACAGGATAGTTTGCAGTAAACTTGCGTTTCTTTGATTTGGACATTTCCGTTATTAAGCACTTTATTTACATATGGACTATTGTGATATAAGCAACCAGAATGAATTTAAGTTTATATTAATTACTTATTTTATTAATTGGGAAGAAAACAAGACATTTTAAAGAAATTAATTTTCTTCTTCTATCCTTAGGCGCAGGGTCAATTTTGAATGGGGGGAGGTCCAGGGAGACTGATAGTGATTGGGGGATTATTTCACTCGGCCCTTGCTCTGGGCCTGACAAGTTCTACAATTTGCAGGTTTGGAAAATGTGGTTAGTGGTAACGTTGGGGTCTACAGATGGGTAACTCTGGGACCTCCTCCACCTCATCTTATAGAGGGGAGGCCTACACCTGCTAATAACTTGTGCATTGGTAATACGAGTGTTTTCCCCGGTCACTCTCCATGGTAGGTGGTGGTGTAACCGTGTTTAACTACCAAGGGTTTTATAACACTATGTCAACATAGGTGTGCTGATAGCCATTGTGTATAGGTAATCGGTAGTCACCCTGGCGCCTCAACAAAATATTATAGAATACTCTGTAGCCAAAGTAATGCCACAAAGTAAAAATGTATATTCTAGTCATGAAAATTTAAATACAAGTTGGTGTAATAAAATGTATGTGTAATTAGAATGATTGTTTTTGTATAAGTTGTAAAAGTTATAAATGAAAAACAGAGGATGGAATCTCTACACAAATGAGTATAATATACAGAAAGTCTGTAGTATTTTAATTTTGGTATTTGTGAGAGAGACAACTGTAGAACAATTTTTTAATCACTTTGTGATTAAAGGAAGGACTTCATTATAGTTTAGAAAATACGTCAACAACTCTTGGTCGTTGTTCTTCATCTCATTGTTATTCATTCAGTATTAATATAGGGTCTTCTTCTTTGAGTATTGCAATTAATAGAGATTATCAAAATTTTATATTTTCAAAATCCTGGTTTAATTCAATCAAATATTTGTGGGGGTGTGTGGGTGTTGCAGCCTTTAGCTCATTGCCATATTTGGCATGGCCATAGATGGCGCTCTCAGGTGGAATCTGAATTTTGGAATTCCCGTATCGGGCACTTGTTAATTTGCTGTCGACAACAAAGCAGGTGCTGCAGAAATTAGTTAAATTATTTAAAACCCGCCCACCCTCCCAAAATAAGAATAGTTCCTGCTGCTTTTTGTTTTATATTTTCAGGCACTAGTTTGCTGTATTTGGTTGCAATATTATGGTTACCAGTATCCAAGCAGGTCCTCCATGGTATTGGACCAATACAGGATAGTTTGCAGTAAACTTGCGTTTCTTTGATTTGGACATTTCCGTTATTAAGCACTTTATTTACATATGGACTATTGTGATATAAGCAACCAGAATGAATTTAAGTTTATATTAATTACTTATTTTATTAATTGGGAAGAAAACAAGACATTTTAAAGAAATTAATTTTCTTCTTCTATCCTTAGGCGAAGGGTCAATTTTGAATGGGGGGAGGTCCAGGGAGACTGGTAGTGATTAGGGGATTATTTCACTCGGCCCTTGCTCTGGGCCTGACAAGTTCTACAATTTGCAGGTTTGGAAAATGTGGTTAGTGGTAACGTTGGGGTCTACAGATGGGTAACTCTGGGACCTCCTCCACCTCATCTTATAGAGGGGAGGCCTACACCTGCTAATAACTTGTGCATTGGTAATACGAGTGTTTTCCCCGGTCACTCTCCATGGTAGGTGGTGGTGTAACCGTGTTTAACTACCAAGGGTTTTATAACACTATGTCAACATAGGTGTGCTGATAGCCATTGTGTATAGGTAATCGGTAGTAACCCTGGCGCCTCAACAAAATATTATAGAATACTCTGTAGCCAAAGTAATGCCACAAAGTAAAAATGTATATTCTAGTCATGAAAATGTAAATACAAGTTGGTGTAATAAAATGTATGTGTAATTAGAATGATTGTTTTTGTATAAGTTGTAAAAGTTATAAATGAAAAGCAGAGGACGGAACCTCTACACAAATGAGTATAATATACAGAAAGTCTGTAGTATTTTAATTTTGGTATTTGTGAATTACAATTAACAACAGACAAAGAGAGACAACTGTAGAACAAATTTTAATCACATTGTGATTAAAGGAAGGACTTCAACATAGTTTAGAAAATACGTCAACAACTCTTGATCGTTGTTCTTCATCTCATTGTTATTCGTTCAGTATTAATATAGGGTCATCTTCTATGAGCATTGCAATTAAATTGCGTGTACATGTTGTTTGCTTGTGTGACAATTTTCATGTCTAGGTAATTAAAACCGATGTACAGATGAGGACAAATTTAATGTGAAACCAGTGTTCATTACATGAAACTAATTGTAAACAGGCTTACAATACGCAACGTTTATTGTGAACACGGCCTAAGTTGAAGATTAAACATTTAAAGTTACTTTGAAATGGTGTCAAAGATACCAAAGAGACAATCAAAATTCGTGAATCATGGAAAACCGACAGAATCATGGCAAAAATTAAAAAATACGAAAAGATAATCTACAAATACTACATAAAAAGTAAAAGACAGCAACACGATCCTCGAGCATCGATGGAGGACTTTTCAACTACTTACCATTGATTCTACGGCGTTTGAAAGCTGCAACCTTCTATCAATACAATCATGGTACGAAACGCAAGCTCTGAAATCTCGTATAAAATGGGAGATATTTGCACCATATGCAGTTGCAGAAATAAAAAAAGACAATTGTTTCTTCTTTAAAAAAAAGCTTTCAAAAAATATTGGGATGATATGTATTAAACCAGCGGCCTCAACCAGATGTGCATTTTGGAAAATTCTACAATTTACTCCAAGCTAAAGATCTTCAATAATAATCTTTATAATTTTGCAGGATTGGAAAAATTTTCGATTGTTCTTCTCTTTACACAATTATTCGTAATGCTTAATTAAAAGATCGACTACACCGTTTCATTTAAGGGTCATTAGCTGTAAAATTCATGTTCATCGATTTGATTCAAATTCTCATATTTGATTTCTAACATATTAAAACGTATATTCAAATTACAACAAGTCTAAAATAAACAATTTACAATGCAAAGACTCGATGATTTATATATATCAGTATTTCATGTGTGTTTTAGTCTAGACGCCATCTAAGTAACAACCGATATGACCTCCGAAGACTGCCGACGGTCATTTAACCCTATATAAACATACACAAATAGCGACTACGTGCAATTGAATTTTTCTAGGTCTGTTTGAGCTTATGTTATAAAGCAAAGAATTTAATCATCTTTTTACCTGTACAAAAAAATTTTTTTGCGGATCGAATCAGTCAACAAAATGGTTCATCTTTGTTTCACTGTTTTGTTAATTTTTGGTAATATACTTTTGACGTGGCTCGGTATTTATACATTTCGCCATGATATTATTGTGCTATGGTCATTTTTTGTATTTTTGTCTTTCATTTTTGCTTAGTAACTTTGTCTATAGCCTTTTTTGTTTTTCTTTGTTGAAATAGTTATTTGTTTTGTAGTGATTAAGATTAAAGCACGATGTTGACTGCTGTACCAAAATTCTGACCTGTTTACATATTATTTCTGTTTGTTTTGCTCACACATTGTTGTCAATATAAGGGAATTCTATGCGACTGCCATACAAGTGAGAGGTTTAGTTAGCTATAAAATCAGGGTTATTCCACCACTTTCTACATAAAGAAATGCCTGTACCATGTCATGAATATGACAGTTGTTTTCCATTATTTTGATGTTTGCGCTTCTCATTTTGCCATGTGACAAAGGACTTTCCGTTTTGAATTTTCCTTTGAGTTTTTTTTTTTTTTTGTATTTTACTTTTTATTCCTCTTCAAAGAATATATCTATATATTCTAGATATATAAAGTCAAAAGAAAACAACCGACGAGAAAAAATTGATGATACAACACAAACAAAAACGCATGTTAGCATGGCAAATGTACAGGTCTAAAGATTTGTGCAATCATACAGTAAAAAAATAAGTATGAACGATTAAGTAAGAAGATTATATTTACATTGTTGTTAGAAAAAATGACCTACGTCTTCTTTATATTTATAACATGATGCAAGTAATCCACATAAATTTTTGAAAGATTGCATTATAATTTATTTGCCTGTCCCAAGTCAGGAACCTGTAATTCAGTGGTTGTCTTTTGTTGCTGTGATACAGATTTGTTTTTCGTTCATTATTTTGTACATAAATTAGGCCGTTAGTATTCTCGTTTGAATTGTTTTACATTTGTCCTTTCGGGGCCTTTTATAGCTGACTATGCGGTATGGGCTTTGCTCATTGTTGAAGGGCGTACGGTGACCTATAGTTGTTAATTTCTGTGTCATCTGGTCTACTGTGGAGAGTTGTCTCATTGTCAATCATACCACATCTTCTTTTTATATTGAATTATATCTTTGCTTGCGTTATTTTTTCACGAAATTAACATAAATAAAGTATTATGTGTACTAGCAGAATTTCAATGCAGTACACTTGCCAAACAAAACCTTGGTATTTGTCTTTGTGTCAATATTATGAATATATTTCAAAACACGTCTTAAAATTTAATTTTTTCTTAATTGTCTTATTCGTTATCATTTGTTTCTAAGTTCAAGTATAGGGAAGTTATGCTAAGATTTTGATGAAAAAGTGTTGAATCGTATAATTAAACCATTGTACAGCATATTACAATCTGATATTTCTAACACCAGATCGCATTTTAAATATCACGTCTTATATTATTACAACATGAACTTGAAAAACACATATGTCAAACCATATTAATTACTATGTATTTATTTTCTTATTTTTGAAAGGGGATACGGTTTAACTGATGTTTAGAATGAATCATCAATTTACCAACACTTGCAATTTTCCTTAAACTTGTTATGTGTTTCTATAGTCTTCCACATCATATATGAATCACTGGTATTCTTTAAATTATTTATGTAAAACAAATGGCATGGCTTTTCATTGAAACTTTGCTGCACATCCTTTAAATAACAATTCGGCCGAACTATTTCTATGTTTAAAATCCAGGGAATAAATCCACTTCCATAGACATCTTCTAGCCACAAAAAAGGCACTATACTTGTCGCTGTATACATTTGTCTAATTACATTAATGGACATAATGGAGGAGGGTCCTGCACAAAACGGGGGAAACGTTGGAAACCGATAGTCCGAGACAGGTGTATACCATTTGCTCTGAGTTTCACGATACGGCCTTGATCCAAAAACAGTAAAACATTCTAAAACATTTGCGTTGTTCTTATTAATCTTATTGTTAAGGTAAGGAATTAGAAATGGAATATTAATAGTAATATCATCGTCAATTTTGATGACATAAATCGCATTTTTACAGAATTTATTTACCCAGAATAAGCTAAATACTCTTTTGTATGTTAAATTTCTGTAGCTGTCTATAAAATTCCCTTGTATAATATCCCTGTATCTGACACTTTCCTTTTGAATTTGTCCTTGCAGAGTATTATTATTGGTTTGCCCTAGCACAAACACATATTCAATACTTCTATTAGCAAAATGTGAAATCGATCCAAATGTATTCCTTATTATCTGACGTCCGTAAAATTTATATGTAGCCGAATAAACGAGAACTAACAGGAACTTATTTTGTTCTTTACACTCCTTACCAGTATTTAGTAGCGTATTATATTGATGTTTGTGAATAAGAGGGTCCATCAGTTTATCTGGTGATGCATTCATATAAAAATGTTCAAACTCAGTTGTGATATTTTTTCCATTGTATCTTCTCAACGTCCAACTCTTGCTGAATATTCGTTGCTGAATTCTATCAAGTAGGTTTCTTTTAATAATTAACAACAACAAACATATTGTAAACAGAACTATCAGTGGAGTTTTCTTGGGTAATTTCTTTAATCTAGTGATAACTTTGATACGTTGAAATCCAGTCATTACTCGTTTGCACCTAATGGTATTCATCGCAGTTACATAACATCACAGACGTAATCAAAAATAAAAAAGATAAAAAATATAATTCTATTTCGGTTATATCACGGATATACAATATTCTTTTCAATTTAAATAAAACGCTTCATAAACTTTCGAGAAAAACAACATGTAGAAAAATCAGCTAATTTATCGACTTTTCATATGGTCAAATCAATGAAATTACAGGGAAAATTATTCATAGTGATAACATTTAAATAGTCTACCATATATAAATGGCTCCCCATATGAGATATATATTTCCCAGCTCATTCGGAATTCAAAATTTTAAAGCTGCTACTCAGACTTTATAAAACGTCACCAGTGTGTGAGCATAAAGTTGGCGATACAAGGTTATGTCAAAGATCGTCTCGTCCTTTTTCTTAAATTGTTCATTGATCGATACCAAGACCTTGTTGATAAATATTCCGTATCAACTTCACTAATATTACAAGATGGTCTTGAATTATAGATTCTAGGTTATGACGTTGTTTATCATCTTAATTAAGTGTTACAGTGTTCTTTTTATTTGTCCTTGTACATTTTTAACCTTTATTGTTTAGTCCATTTTTTGGTTATTCACTTTTGACATGGCTCGGTACTTATGCATTCCGCCATTGCGTTATTGTGCTATGGTCAATTTGAAATTCTTGTTTTTCATTTTTGCTTATATACTTTGTCTATAGAGTGTCTTTATGCCATTTTGTCTCCAAATTTGCTCAGTTCCTCAGTCATTAGTTTTCTATGTTGTGGTTTGTATAATGTTGTTTTTCTTTTGGTCTTTTACTTTTTTTGCCATGATGTTGTCAGTTTATTTACGACTTATGAATGTTAATGTCCCTTTGGTATCTTTCGCCTCTCGAAGAAGAAATCAGAAAAAAAGGATTGTTATACTCAGGGTCGAAAACATGATACCCTTCGCAATCATATTCAGAAAGATATGTCGTGTGAACAATTAAATGACAAAACGAGGAAATGGTCATTTCTCCTCTGTACATTTGGCCTGAAACAATCAGTCATTTTGTCATTCTTGGGATCTAGGCAGAGTTTAGATATCGTATTTCCATTAAGGTGTATATCATAACCTGAGTATGAATTAAATGTATGTGGTGATGTCCACGATAAAATGAGGACTGGTTTCCTGTATTTTTTCTATAGGAGGTGCTATAAACAGATCTTACTGTTTCTTCCAAATCATACCAAATTTCTTTTATATTTAATTTTTCTGCAGAGGGCAATGTGATAATCGATTTGAAAACATAGTGAGGAATTGACCAAACTTTGTTGATACCTTTATCCACAAAGTTCTGTTAACAACAAACATCAAAGATAGTTGTTTATACGTAAGATAACATATTAACTATAAAGGCATCACCAGTTTATTCGGCCAACTTAAAAGATCAGATACTTCATTCATCAGACCTGCACTCGTTAGCGCTAGAGCATGAGATCCAAAAAGATAAACTTGAAGTTTATACCGAAATAAGCAATTTTTCACAAATATCATGTAAAAGTACCTACGAACAAAATACGTGTTGTTGAAACAGTGTGAGCTAACCTATCCTGTCCAGGCGGTAGTATAAATTTGTGAACCAGATGTATCAAACTATTCTATTTGGAAAGAGTAAAAAGTAAGCTATCAAATGACAATGGAAATAACTTTTCTAAACCGAATTAAGTTCTCGCTCACATTTCTCTGTTGAAAAAGTAGACTTGTTCATAGATATGGTAAAAAACAAACATTTAAATAGAACTGGATCGGTCATAGAAACAGGTCTTTTCCAAACTATAACAGAAAAGTGGACAGGTCTGCCTTTGGTCGCAATTTCGAATAGGTCATCTCCCGAACAGACCTATGGACAGGTCAACTTTTATCAAGTCAACGTGTTGAACACTTTTAACACAAGACATGATCTTTTAGTTATATATATAATCTATCATGTACGCCGTAAATATATAATGGTGTGATTAATGGGTTTCCGCGTGCCATATATATATATATATGATAATACAGTTATATATTATACTCGGTATATACAGATTGTAATGTATTTGTTAAAAAAGAGAGGCGAAAGATACCAAAGGGACATTCAAATTCTTGAGTCGAAAATAAACTGACAACGCCATGGCAAAAAATGAAAATGACCAAAAGACAAATAACATTATACAAAACCAACATAGAAAACTAAATCTGAATCACGCCGCCTCTAAAATAGGTAGCTTTGAAGCCCAGCTTTAAATGCTGATAAATTTGATGTTAATAATTTAGAAAAAGATTTCGTGGAATACTTGGAAGACATATAATGTTGTTTGTAAAGTACCTATGTAATTAAGGTATCTAATACAGTGAAGGAAGATCCAGTTCTTTATTTTTGGTTGAAATTTCAGAGGAACAGAGAACAGTTTTATGATTATCCAGGATTTCCTTCTTGTTAAGTGTCGCGAGGGCATATGTTGACTTTCAAAGTGGATTGTCAAAACCTTGTTCATTTATCAAGCAGTTAATGTAATGTTATTTACACACAAAAACGATGTTGTTTGGAGCTTTATTTGCGGGGAAAACATTCTTTTAATGAAGTAATGATTATTGAATTTACATTTAACTACATGCAGGTAATGAAGGTATTAAGACATGCAAGTATTATAAAAGAAGTAGATTTTATTTTTGATGGATGAAAGTTAAATAAATGCATCAAAGGACATTATCTGTCAAATTCATGTTCACCGATTTAACTCAAATTCTCATATTTGATTTATAACATATTAAAACGTATATCCAAATTACAAAAAAAAATTAACAAGTATGTTTATCATCGTTTTTCCGATATAAGAATGATTTTTTATGGATCGAATCAGTCAACCAAATGCTTCATTCTTGTTTCACTTGCACTGTTGAATTTTTTTTTCCTTTAATAGCTGAATACATGCGTAACCTATCTCTATTTAAGGTGTAATACCACCATTGATTTTCCCCTATTAGTCTTTGTTAAATTTGCACTTTTCAAAAATTTGTGCAGAATTTATCTTTGTTTCAAATAAAGAAATACTTGGCATGAGTAAAGTTTTATCCTGTCCAGTACTATAGAAAATATTTCACATAACATTTCATTGCATATAAGAAAATAACCATCACTGGAAGTTAACCAATCAAATTTTCCCCTTTTATTAACCTGTGTACAAGCTTTAGTAACCATGTAACCTCAAATTTCCAAAATATTCTATAGAAACCCCAATAAAAAATATAATGGTGCTTTTAAATACCCAAGATATATGCTATGAACCAGAAATGTTTTACTGCAATGAAATGTAGGATTAATTACCTACAACTGTCAAATTCAAGGGAATATTTTTTTTCGACCTGTTTTCGTATGCAACCGGATGTGACGTACTATGATTTGGTGGTATTACACCTTAAACCAAAAGAGAGGCGAAAGATAGCAGAGGAAGTTCCAATTCATTACTTACAGTCTAAATAAAGTTTGCAGTTCGAAAGTTGAACTGATTACGTCACGTTTAAAGTTAAAATCATTTGGTATGCACTTGACAGGGGCGGGGTTGATTACTTTTCAAAGCAATTGATTAAATTACAATTACTTTGCTAATTCGATGTAATCGGTTACATAACAATAACATCTTAATTCAAATGTCATCTATTACATTAGATTATTATCCTGTAAAGTAATCATAAATAAAAATATTAGATTGCATATGATTACAATGAATTCTGTAATATAAAAGAATCTATTTTTGTTAAACATTGTAATTTTAATATCTTTATTATATATGCATGTCATTTAGAACTTGGACCAAGAGCAGTGTAACATGTGAACATTCTAATTTTATAGACAAAAAGATACCAAAGAGTCATTTAAACTCAAAAGTCAAAAATAAACTGACAACGCCATGGCTAAAAAATAAAAAGACCAACAGACAAACAATAGTACACAAAACAAAACATAGAAAACTAAAGACTGAGCAACACAAACCTTCCCCCTCTAAAAAAAACCTGGGGAGGATCTCGGGTGCTCCGGAAGGGTAAGCAGATCCTGCTTCACATGTGGCACCCGTCGTGTTGCTCATGTTAGTACAAACCCGGTAATAAGTCTAATTCGATAGGTCACATTCGGGAAAAGGGGACGGGATTGTAATTTCGACATTAGGAACATATCCGTTGTCATCTGTGAAACGGATATTCCATAACGGTCAACCAACTCGTGATGGCGTACGTAAAACTTAGGAAGGGATGATTTCAAATTCACCACTTGGAACTCTTGGTTCTATACTTTCCTTGTGAACAGCTACCCTCTATTTAGGAAATCACGATAGAAAATACAAGCCCTGAAATATCGTACCAACTGGGAGATATATACTCCGTATGTAGGCGCTGCTGGAATGTTGCTACATAGAAATGGAAAGTTCACAAAGTTCACATGAATACGGAGTTAATGAGGCCGAATTATTCACTTGCGTGTAAATAATTCATCAGCGATGTTTCCTAGCTTATTTTGACAAAACTGAACCAAATTAGCTGCAAAAATGAATTATTATTTCACTTTTTCATTTTCATTAATAATTGAACAAAAAAAATCATATTTCATTTTTCTTTTTTTTTATATCTCGTAGCTAATGCCCATTTGATGTAAATAAATTTATGTAATGGTTACAATGTTTCTGTGTTACATCGTCTCCCATAGGGGAATGTGCCTTTCTACAAACATTTGCATATATTTCATCGTAAGTCATTGTGTTAACTGTGGGTTTATAGTTCATAATTTTGATATTACCCGGATATCTATCATCATGTAATAGTAATTTCTGAAGTACTTTTTGGAGCTTTTCAGCTTTTCAACATTTATATTTTCGGAAAAAAAATATAATAATATCCATGTATACTAATTTTAGGGTCATGTATGATATTCAATATAGCAATGCTTTTCCCACAATGTAACGAAAATTGTAGGAAAAGCAAAATCTATTTGTAAGATTTGAATGACTTGAAGGTACTGATGATACTATCTGATTACCCCTCAAGAAGACATCTCGGTCGAGACAAAATTCAAGTTCTAAATGAAACAAATGAAGTCGAAATTACTAACAAGGGTTTCAAAATCAATAGCC